ACTGGGTGGAGTGTATGATCAGTATGAATGAGACTGGGTGGAGTGTATGATCAGTATGAATGAGGCGTGGTGCAGTGTATGATCAGTATGAATGAGACTGGGTGGAGTGTATGATCAGTATGAATGTGACTGGGTGGAGTGTATGATCAGTATGAATGAGACTGGGTGGAGTGTATGACCAGTATGAATGAGACTGGGTGGAGTGTATGATCAGTATGAATGAGGCGGGGTGGTGTGTATGATCAGTATGAATGAGACTAGGTGGAGTGTATGATCAGTATGAATGAGACTGGGTGGAGTGTATGATCAGTATGAATGTGACTGGGTGGAGTGTATGACCAGTATGAATGAGACTGGGTGGAGTGTATGACCAGTATGAATGAGACCAGTGTATGACCACCAGTATGAATGATGACCAGTATGAATGTTACTGGGTGGAGTATGACCAGTATATGAATGATCAGTACTGGGTGGAGTGTATGATCAGTATGAATGTGACTGGGTGGAGTGTATGACCAGTATGAATGAGACTGGGTGGAGTGTATGACCAGTATGAATGAGACTGGGTGGAGTGTATGATCAGTATGAATGAGACTGGGTGGTGTGTATGACCAGTGATGGCTCCCGTAGCCAGTATGAATGAGGCGGGGTTGTGTGTATGTATAGTGTATTTGTTCATGTATAATGTGTGAGTTCGCCATGTGAATGAGGCGGGGTCGTGTGTGTGTGTGTGTGTGTGTGTGTGTGTGTGTGTGTGTGTGTGTGTGTGTGACTATTGTATGCGCTCATGAATCACTTACAGGTGTGGGACGTGTGGTTGAGCCTGCCTGTGTATGCCGTGTGGGGGATGTGTATTATTGACAAGTGGGTGTCTTGTGTATGGGTGTATTATGTATGATCTGGGATGTACCTGGATGGAGACGTGTGTGTGTGTGTGTGTAACTGATCGATGACTTGCATGTTTTGTTTTATCATTTATCTTTATTTTGATTTAGCAGATTCCCCCCCACACACACCCTCTGCCATCCCCCACACACACACACCTCTGCCATCCCCCCACACACAACACACCATCCCCCCACACACACACCCTCCGCACACACCCTCTGCCATCCTCCACACACACACACCCTCCAACACACACCCTCTGCCATCCCCCACACACACACCCTCCCACACACCCTCTGCCATCCCCCCCCACACACACACCTCCAAACACACACCCTCTGCCATCCTCCCCCCACACACACACACCCAACACACACCCTCCCATCCTCCCCCCACACACACACCCCACACCCTCTGCCATCCCCCCCACACACACACCTCCGCCCAACACACACCCTCTGCCATCCCCCACACACACACCCTCCGCCCCAACCCACACACACTCTGCCATCCCCCCACACACACACCCCTCCACACACCCCCACACACACACCTCTCTGCCATCCCCACACACACACCCTCCCGCCCAACACACACCCTCTGCCATCCCCCCACACACACACACACACACACACACACAGCATGTAACTTTAGTAGAGTCTGGTGCTGTTTCGACGCCATTTTGCGTCGTAATTTAAGGCTGAGCCAATGTGATGTTCCCTCGTGTCTCCACAGGGTGATGTTCCTCCGTGTCTCCACAGTGTGATGTTCTCTCGTGTCTCCACAGGGTGATGTTCTCTCGTGTCTCCACAGTGTGATGTTCTCTCGTGTCTCCACAGTGTGATGTTCTCTCGTGTCTCCACAGTGTGATGTTCTATCGTGTCTCCATAGTGTGATGTTCTCTCGTGTCTCCACAGTGTGATGTTCTATCGTGTCTCCACAGTGTGATGTTCTCTCGTGTCTCCACAGTGTGATGTTCTCTCGTGTCTCCACAGTGTGATGTTCTCTCGTGTCTCCACAGTGTGATGTTCTCTCGTGTCTCCCATACCTTTTACATACAGTATCTCTTAAATATCTCTCATTCTTAGTATTGGGGCATTTACGACTGGGGCCCATTAGTACTGGTACCCATTAGAGTCGGTGTTCATTAGAACTGGGGACCATTAATACTGGGGGGTCAGTAGTCTTAGGGGCCATTAGTACTGGGCCCATTAGTACTGGGGTCCATTAATACAGTAAAGTTAGTAAACCATTAGAACTGGTGGCTATAAGTACTGGGGCCCATAAGTACTGGGACCGTCAGAACTGGGGGCCATAAGGACTAGGAGTCATTAGTATTGGGGGCCATAAGATTGGCGCCCATAAGTACTAGGCCATTAGAAATAGGGCCCATAAGTACTGGGGGCCATAAGTACAAAGGACCATTATTATTGAGAGCCATTTACACCAAATCCCATAATGATGGCCCAACACGTCTGACTAGTGGTCATAAGCGTCAGTCTTCGTACACTCTAGCAGTCGTGTACGTCAGTGATCGTGCACTCTACTGGTCCTGTATGCTAGTGGTCGTGCACCCTAGTGGACGTGCACTAATATGGTCGTGTACACAGACAGTCCATCTATGTCCTTACCAACACCGTAATTTTCACTTGTGATTAATGAACGAAAATTATATAGTGTACATAAAAAGCCAAAAGTATGCAAATGAAACGAGGCGCGTCGCATCCAGTGGAATACACAATATATATATATATGCAAGTAAATCACTGTAGGTGCGGATCATATATGACCTGGTCTCACCCTTCTGTATATATACACCCTCTCTAGTCTGTACTCACCCCTGAAGATGTGAATTACACGAAAGCGCTTGGGAACTTGGTTATCAGCAAATATATATATATATATTGTATTGGTATACCTATTAACATATACAATATTAAGGAGAATTTTAAGCCATCAAATGGAATGTTCATCTTCAATAGACGGGTGTGTTGTGTGGTGGAGCTCCCAAAGAAAATGGTTTGGGGATAATTGAAAATATTTTCTTGACACGGGTGAGGGAGAGAGAAATTGATTGGGTGAGGTTGAGGACTGAATAAAGGAGACTGGAATGAATTAGATGTAATAGAAAATAATAAATAAAATGGTGACAGGGAGAGAGAGAAAGAGGAGGGGGGGGGGTGATAAGAGGGCCACCAACATGGCCTTGGAGTCATGTTCAATAACGTTTTAACTTGTGTACAACACCCAATGTTCTTAATGACACACACACACAATAATAGTAATGACACCTTGAAGCAACACCCACGGTCCGGTGTCACAAAGGGTCACATGATCAGTATTCCTTTTAACTCATAGCGTACTTAATGACGTATTTAACTGCTTGACTTAACACAAAATATCCTCAAAATTATGCCGAGACTCGATCCTACGTGCCCTTAACACCGGGCAAAACTAAGATATAAAATGTTTTCAAGAGGATTATTTTGCCTTGACACTGTGTCCTATCTAGTGTTCAGGGAAGGTCGAGTCTAATGTCGATGTTATTTTTGTTACATGTTAAGTCGAGCAGTTAGGAATATCATTATATAAGTCATGAGTTAAAGGGAATATTCATCGTGTGATCTTCGTAAAATCCTGGCCCAAAACAGCAAGTCAAGAGTACTTACACCTCACTCTGGCAGCGCTGAGTACCAGACCAGTTGGTAAGAGTACTTACACTTGTACTCGTGACATAGATTCAAGTTAACTTTCACAGTATTGACTGTGAGTTAGTGGTGGTACTCAGAGATATATTTAAAGTTAATACTCAGAATACTGACGCAGTGAGTACTTTAGAGTTGCTCAGAGTACTAATGAACAATCAGTTTAATAACCAGAGTACTAACGCACTTAATACTCGGGTTAATGCCCTGAACTCAAAGGCAATGACTCATTAATTTAATGTTTTAATTATTTACTAAGTGATTTGATTGTTAGTACTCGAAGATGTAGTACGCGTGAATTACAAGTTTAATATTCAGTGAGCTGGTACTAGTACTCAGGAATGTACTCAAGGAAGCGCTCAGAGTACGACTGGAGACAACACAGTGAGGGGTTTCAAGAAGTACCATTAACACATGGGGACTCTTGACAGCACTGACAGGAAGCATGGTGTAGGGCCTGACCTCCTCTGCCCTCACCCGCTGAACACTTGCACCATGAAAACAGCGCCAGCACGAGCAATCAACAGTGTTTGGCGATACCTTCCACCTCAGTGACACTTATGGAAGTTATGACAGACGAACGATCGCCCACTATATGCCTACATTGACGCTCTTTTGTATGGCATGAAGAAATTTCTCCTGTGGGTGGCATAAGCAGGCAGCAGGTGGTCCCTGTCAGCGGCGCCAGGTCACAGAGGGAGCGACACCTGGACTCGGATTCACAAAGGTTCGCGCCATGAGTATTCCTCGTAACTAAAGGTGTAATTATGTACCTGACAGATTAACTTATGATTATCACGAAAATAACGTCCCAATGTAACTTCAAAACTACACTAAGACTCTACCTTAACTAGATACATTCATAAAACACAAGAAGTAGGGGAGGGAATCTCTGGAAAAACCCTCTACTTTAAGTTTGTCTCTTATTTGACGTTAAGTGAGTGTATTTAGTTAATGTACAATCTTAATGTTATTTTTGGATCTAATTTGTGGGTTGTATCTTAAATTAGTCAATTGGGATGTGTTGTTCTTCAGCTATGAGGAATATTTAACGAACGTACCTGTGTGAATCAGGAACCTTGATAAACACAGTAATAACACACTCATGGACGGAGGCGCCAGTATGGTGAAGTAACAGAACTGTGGCGGCCAGGTGGGGTGTGTCTGTCTCTGTCTCCTGGGGTACGGCAGGTGAGTTGATCCGGGGCACAGTCATGGTCCACCAGAGCCCATGGTAGGAGGCGTTGGTCGTGGGCCCTCTGGTAGGTGGCAGACTGACGACCCAATGGTGATGATCGACTTGGAGTGGTGGTACTCGACGCGTGTACGATGGTGATTAGTCGGCTAGTAGCAGTGTTTGGTCGGTTAACAGTATTCGTTGATCGGCTAGTAGGAGTGGTTGGTCGGTTAGGAATAATGGTTGGTCCGCTAGTAGTGGTGGTTGGTCGGCTAGGGGTGGTGGTTGGTCGTTTAGCAGTATTCGTTGGTCGGCTAGCAGTAGTGGCAGTCGACGAGGGATTGATGGGTAGGGGACCTCAGTTCTGAGTGGGTGTACAAAGCCTGGAAGATGACACCCAACCTCGTTCTGTACACAGTGGTCTGAGTCTCCTGCCGTCACCAGAGGAAGCCATTGTAAAGGACTGTCATAACCTGAGATTTACACTTCAGCGCCCTGGCCAATTGGTAACTGGTCCATATAGGCTTTTGAAAGACCTATATAATTATAAGGGTAAATGGTCCGTGGGCATCTAATCTAAGTAATGTCATAGAACCTATTTTATTTTCTGAAGGGAGTCGAGTAGGAATGTATTACGTCATTCAATAATAAAGTTGGAGAAGTATTTGTTCTCCACCAGTGGCCAATATTTTGATACTTCACCATAAACGTTGCAGTTTTTGTTATCCTATAAATTAATCCAGAGTTACTTCAACCTACGGGTGATGATTGACGAAGCTTAGGTAATGGTTCCATAGTATGGTATACACACTAATTTAGAACTAATACTATCGTTCACCGACAGAGAGAAAGGAGTGAGATAAGGAAATAAAAGATTGATCTTTGTGATTGTGGTCACAACTTATCACTGATTGTCTTCTTTTCTTCTGCTTCCATCGTGAGAATATAACCGCAAGCTCTCGTACGCAGGGGGGGAGGGCGTTGCCTGTCCTCCATACACTGCAGAAGGCACTGTAGCGGGTGCCGTCGACGATGCCACGTAAGCAGCCGTTGATGGATGACAGTGGGAGTTGGTGGATGATGGATACTGTTGGTGTGAGGTGAAGATGGGTGAGGGCGGTCTGTCGAACACCCCTAACAACTTTCCCTCCTGGTGCACCGTTGGAGTGAGACTTCTGGGAGAGTCGCAGAAGGGGGGGCTGAAGAGGGGCGTGGTGCAGAGAGGCGAGGAGGACCTGGGTTGGCTGGAGGAGGAAGTGGTGGGGTTGTGAGGTGACTGAGTGGTGGTGGTGGTGGTGCTGACCAGCTCCTGTAGGGTCTTGGCGTCCATAATGAGCTCTGGGGACAGGCTGTTGTAGTCCGGGGGACTCTCGTAGGGCGGCGGTGAGTCCTTCATCCATTTCTTCACCACGATGCCGTGAGTCTCCGTCAGGTACGTGATGTGCGCCGCCTGTTGGGAGTAAGATAAGAGTTAACGACTCATGTACTTACGACACCGCTACAAGAATGAACAGAAAACGACGTAAAGTACATTATGTCTGGAAGGGTCATGAATTATTGACATAATTTAGACTCACCGTGCAATGGCTCATGCACCTATAAGAGAAACAAGAGTATTAGGAATCATGCGAGTACACCACACGTCATCACAGAACCCTCTAGTAACTATCCACTGGAGGAACTATAACATCGTCCTCTCCTGTCTGTCTGTCTGTCTGTCTGTTTGTTAGTTTGTTTGTTTCCATGGTGTACAGGAGGGACCGTGAGAGCTGAACTGATCACATTGGCCACGAGTATCGCCCTGAGGGATGCCAAGGTCAAATACCAACTTGAACTCACTCATCTTATACCGATAATAATAGAAAGGCTCAGGATCACCGTAACATTGACCTCAGCTTGTTTCACCATAAGATTAAACACCTTAACACTAATCCAACACAACATAAACCTAACCTAAACCTAAAGTTATGGCCCCCCTAGTAGGTGTGGCTCCCTAGTAGTTGTGGCCCCCAAGTAGTTGGTAACCCTAGTAGTTGTGGTCTCCTAGTAGTTGTGGCCCCCTAGTAGTTGGTACCCCTAGTAGTTGTGATCTCCGAGTAGTTGTGGCCCCCTAGTAGTTGTGGCCCCCTAGTAGTTGGCGCCCCCTCCCTAGTAGTTGTAGCCCCCTAATACAGTAGTTGGCGCACCCTAGTTGACATGCCCCTCCCCCTAATAAATATATATGTCCCCCTAGTGTGACCCCCTCACCCTTAGTAACCATATCCACCCCTTCCCCATCCCTTAGTGTGGCCAGACGCAATCACCGAGATGTGATGGCCCTCGCAGCGTGACGTCAAACACCCCCCTCCCCCCCGAAAAAAAGAATTGATAGTGTCAACAAGTTTCAAGTCAATTAGTTGATTATCTTGTTGTGTTCTCTTCACTATGTTGCGTATGTTCCTCTGTATATCTGATTCCTCTTTCTTTCGTGTATTTCTCCTTCTTGTTCTTCTTTCTCCCTTACTTCTCCTCCTACCTCTTCTTCCTCTTCCGTTTTTTTGTTGTTGTTCTTCGTTATCTTTTTTTTTCGTCATTGTTCTCCTCCTCCTCTTTCCTTCTTTTTTTTCTTTCATGGGTTGTATCGATGAGACACAGGCCGTGGTGGAGACACAGGCCGTGGTGGAGACACAGGCCGTGGTGGAGACACAGGCCGTGGTGGAGACACAGGCCGTGGTGGAGACACAGGCCGTGGTGGAGACACAGGCCGTGGTGGAGACACAGGCCGTGGTGGAGACACAGGCCGTGGTGGAGACACAGGCCGTGGTGGAGACACAGGCCGTGGTGGAGACACAGGCCGTGGTGGAGACACAGGCCGTGGTGGAGACACAGGCCGTGGTGGAGACACAGGCCGTGGTGGAGACACAGGCCGTGGTGGAGACACAGGCCGTGGTGGAGACACAGGCCGTGATGGAGACAGGCCGTGGTGGGACGCGCCGTGGTGGAGACACAGGCCGTGGTGGAGACACAGGCCGGTGGAGACACAGGCCGTGGTGGGACACAGGTGCAGGGAGACACAGGCGTGGTGGAGACACAGGTGGGGAGCACAGGCCGTGGGGAGACAAGGCGTGGTGGGACAGGCCGTGGTGGAGACACGGCTGTGCGGGTGGAGACACAGGCCGTGGGGAGACACAGGCCGATGGAGACACAGGCGTGGTGGAGACACGGCCGTGGTGGAGACACAGGCCGTGGTGGAGACATGGCGTGTGGAAACACAGGCGTGGTGGAGCAGGCCGTGGTGGAGACACAGGCCGTGGTGGAGACACGGCCGTGATGGAGACACAGGCCGTGGTGAGACACAGGCCGTGGTGGAGACACAGGCCGTGGTGGAGACACAGGCCGTGGGAGACACAGGCCGTGGTGGAGACACAGGCGTGGGAGACACAGGCCGTGGTGGAGACACAGGCCGTGTTGGAGACACAGGCCGTGGTGGGAGACACAGGCCGTGGTGAGACACAGGCCGTGCACGATCTCTTTATTTATTGTCACTATCAAGAAGGGTGTTGACTCTCTCTCTCTCTCACACACGACTGCTCTACTCTCCCTGATCTCCTAACCTGCTCTCCCACGGCTTTCATCTCCTCTTCCTGTACCCATTCCAGATTCTCTCCTTCATCCTCCTGACCACCTCTCCCCTCTCCTTCATCCGCCCTTCCACCCTCCTCTCCTTCATCCTCCCTCTCCCACCTCTCTCCTTCATCCTCCCTCCCACCTCCCTCCTTCATCCTCCTGACCACCTCTCCTCCTTCATCCTTTCTCCACCTCCCCTCTCCTTCATCCTCCCCCTCCCACCCTCCCTCTCCTTCATCCTCCTCCTGACCACCTCTCCTCTCCTTCATCCTTTCTCCCACCTCCCTCTCCTTCATCCTCCCTCCCACCCTCCCTCTCCCCTTCATCCTCCCTCCCACCTCTCCCTCTCCTTCATCCCCTCCTCCCACCTCTCCCCTCTCCTTCATCCTCCCTCCCATCTCTCTCTCCTTCATCCGCCCTCCCACCTCTCCCTCTCCCTTCATCCTCCCTCCTCCCTCTCCCTCTCCTTCATCCGCCCTTCCACCTCCCTCTCCTTCATCCTCCTTCCCTCCTCTCCTCTCCTTCATCCCTCCCTCCCTCCCTCTCCTCTCCTTGATCCCCTCCCCTCCCCCCTCCCTCCTCCTTCATCCTCCCTCCCTCCTCTCCCTCTCCTTCATCCTCCCTCCCACCCTCCCTCTCCTTCATCCTCCCTCCCACCTCTCTCCCCTTCATCCTCCCTCCCACCTCTCCCCTCCTTCATCCTCCCTCCCACCTCCTCCTCTCCTTCATCCTCCCTCCCACCTCGCCCTCTCCCCTTCATCCCTCCCTCTCCCACCTCCTCCTCCTTCATCCTCCCTCCCACCCTCTCCCTCTCCTTCATCCTCCTCCTCCCACCTCTCCCTCCTTCATCCTCCCTTCCACCTCCCTCTCCTTCATCCTCCTCCCCACCTCTCCTTCTCCTTCATCCTCCCTCCTCCACCTCTCCCCTCTCCCTACATCCGCCCTTCCACCCTCCCTCCCTTCTCATCCGCCCTTCCACCCTCCTCTCCTTCATCCTCCTCCCACCTCTCCCTCTCTCCTTCATCCTCCCTCCCTCCCTCTCCCCTCCTTCATCCCTCCCTTCCACCTCTCCCCTCCTTCATCCTCCTCCCTTCCACCTCTCCTCCTTCATCCACCCTTCCACCTCTCCCTCTCCTTCATCCTCCCTCCCCACCTCTCCCTCTCCTTCATCCTCCCTCCCTCCTCTCCCCTCCTTCATCCTCCCTTCCACCTCTCTCCCTCTCCTTCATCCTCCCTTCCACCTCTCCCCCTCCTTCATCCACCCTTCCACCTCTCCCTCTCCTTCCTTCATCCTCCCTTCCACCTCTCCCTCTCCTTCATCCACCCTTCCACCCTCTCCCTCCTCCTCATCCACCCTTTCCACCTCTCCCTCTCTCCTTCATCCTCCCTCCCACCCTCTCCCTCCTCCTTCATCCTCCCTCCCTCCTCTCCCTCTCCTTCATCCTCCCTCCTCCCACCTCTCCCTCTCCTTCATCCTCCCTCCCTCTCTCCCTCTCCTTCATTCGCCCTCCTCCTCTCCCTCTCTCCTTCATCCGCCCTCCTCCTCTCCCTCCATCCTCCCTTCCACCTCTCCCTTCATCCTCCCTCCTCCCACCTCTCCCCTCCTTCATCCTCCTCCCCTCTCCCTCTCCCCTCCTCTCCCTCCCTTCATCCGCCCTTCCACCCTCCCCTCTCTCCTTCATCCTTCCCTCCTCCCTCCTCTCCCTCTCTCCCTTCATCCTCCTCCCTCCCCTCTCTCCCTCCCTTCATCCTCCCTTCCACCCTCCCTCCTTCATCCTCCCTTCCACCTCCCTCTCCCTTCATCCACCCTTCCACCTCTCCTCTCTCCCTTCATCCTCCCTCCCCACCTCTCCCTCTCCCCTTCATCCTCCCTCCCTCCTCTCCCCCCTCTCTCCCTTCATCCCTCCCCTCCCACCTCTCCCTCTTCATCCTCCCTCCTCCCTCTCCTCTCCTTCATCTGCCCTCCCTCCTCTCCCTCCTTCATCCGCCCTCCCTCTCCTCTCCCTCCCCCTCCTTCATCCTCCCTTCCACCTCTCCCTCTCCTTCATCCTCCCCTCCCACCTCTCCCCTCTCCTTCATCCTCCTCCCTCCCTCTCCTCTCCTTCTCTCATCCGCCCTTCCACCTCTCCTCTCCTTCATCCTTCCTCCCTCCCTCTCCCTCTCTCCTTCATCCTCCCTCCCTCCTCTCTCCTCCCTTCATCCACCCTCCCACTCCTCTACATCCTCTCTTTCGAGCCTGCCTCCCAGCACGTTTGACCCTCTCTCCCATTGTACATACTTCTATCCTTCCTCAAATTTCCTCTTTTCTGCTTATCCCTTCCCTCCTCCTCCCTCTTCTTCCTTCCTCCTTCCCTTCCTACCTCCCTCCCTCTCCTTCCTCCTCTCCCTTCCTCCCTCCTCTCCCTCCCCAGCCTCCCTCCTCCCTCCTCCCTCCTCCTCCCACCCATGTTTGACCTAATTTCGGGTAGTGGGCGTATGACCCTGGTGACCTGGTTTACTCTCACGATAGAAACCTCCAACTTTAAATACCATTCGCAGACCCCTCCTAGTACTCTTACCAGCCCTCCTCTAGTACTGTCAGCCCTCCCCTAGTACTTCGTCAGCCCTCCCTAGTACTTCGTCAGCCTCCCAGTAGTTCGTTAGCCCTCCCTAGTACTTCGTCAGCCCCCTCCTAGTACTTTACCAGCCTCCCTAGTACATCGTCAGCCTCCCAGTACTTCGTCAGCTCCTCCCTAGTACTTCGTCAGCCCCCTCCCAGTTCGTTAGCCCCCTCCCCTAGTACTTCGTCAGCCCCTCTCCCAGTACTTCGTCAGCCCCTCCCTAGTAGTTCGTTAGCCCTCCCTAGTATTCTTACCAGTCCCTCCCTAGTAGTTCGTCAGCCCTCCCTAGTACTTTACCAGCCCTCCCTAGTACATCGTCAGTCGCCTCCCTAGTACTTTACCAGTGATAGTAGTAGTGGTGATGGTAGTGGAAGATAGTGGTTATTGTGGTAGTAGTGGTGGTAGTTGTAGTGCTTGTGGTGGTAGGGGATAGTGGTTGGAGCTGTGGTGGGATGGCTGATGGTAATTGTGGTGGTGGTGGTGTCATACCTACTCAAAAACTAAATGGGCACTCAGTAGGTTAAGTCTCTGTACACAGGGGGTAAGTTTTTGTACCTCAGGGGGTTAACTCTTGTACTCACGGGTTTCAGTCTCAGTACACAGTTAAGCTCTCTGTACTCAAGGATAAGTCTGTAAGGAGTTAAGTCTCTGTACTCAGGGGCTCAAGTCTCTGTACTCAGGGGGCTAAGTCTCTGTACTAGGGGCTAAGTCTCTGTACTCAGGGGTTAAGTTTCTGTTCTCAGGGGTTTAGTCTCTGTACTCATTTGGTTAAGTCTCTATACCAGATGGTTAAGTCTCTGTACCTGGGGGTTAAATCTCTGTACTCAGGGGGTTAACTTTCTGTACTCAGGGGGTTAAGTCTCGTACTCAGGAGGTTAAGTCTCTGTACTCAGGGGTTAACTCTCTGTACTCAGGGGGGCTAAGTCTCTGTACTAGGGGTTAACACACACACAGACGCACACACACACCTGGTGACGGGGGGGTAAGGTGTTACCTGAGAACCATTGCTTCCTGTAGCCGAAGCAGAGGTGTCGTATGGGGTCCTGCAGCAGGGGCAGCAGGGAGGTCGTCTCATGAGCAGGAAGATGAGCAGGGCCACAGTGGTCAGCACAAACAGCAGGAAGAGCGTGGTGATGAGCATGTTATACACCTGTGGGTAGAGAGACACGTGTTAACAGGTGTTTGATGGAGAGAGACAAACTGATAGACAGAGGGAGTGAGAGAGGGCCATTTTTAAACTTTTTTACACAGGTAACAAGCACACACACACACACACACACACGTATATATATATATATATATATATATATATATATATATATATATATATATATATATATATATATAAATTATCAGCAAATGATATCATTTAACATCTTAATCAAACGTAACCTAACTTCGTAAGAGAGAGAAACAAAGTAACAGTTTTCGTGAACATCTTGTTTTTTATTCATCTATGAATGTATGCAAAACACACCCCCCTCGTGCCTCCACCCCACCTCCCTATGGCGATGCATACATTTAACAGCACTGTAGTCTGCAGGTCCTGGAGGTGCTGTAAGGTAGGTGGTAGGTAGGTAGGTAGGTAGGTAGGTGGTGGGGTAGGTAGTAGGTGGGTAGGAAAGTTAGTAGGCAGGGCTGGCCTTTTACCAATGGTCAGGACGTGTCCAGGCTTTGGCACTCAGCTCAGCGTGTGTGATGATGATGATGTCTCTCTCTCTCTCTCTCTCTCTCTCTCTCTCTTTTTTTTTTTTTTTTGTCTGCCATGAAGCTACAATATATAACACTATTGTCACCCTCACCAGTCCCATCTCTGGAGTGTCTCCTGTCATATAGTTCATCATATTCTCCTGCTGCCACACGCCCATAACATGTGTACCTACCACGCCCATAACATGTGTACCTATCACACCCCAATATGTGCCTATCATACGCCCATAACATGTGTACCTACACACGCCCTGTATGTGTACCACACCCACGCCCACAACATGTGCCTACCACACGCCCTACATGCGTACCTATCACACGCCCACACAACATGTGTACCTACCACACACCAATAACATATGTACCTACCACACGCCCACAACATGTGTACCTACCACACGCCCTAACATCATGTTACTTGCCACACATGCCCCCATAACATGTGTCCTCCACACTAGGCAACTGTGTACTCATACGCCCACAACATGTGCCCTACCACACGCCCATAACATGTACCTACCACGCCCTCAAAATGTACCTACCACACGCCCATAACATATGTGTACCTACCACGCCTTGTGTGCCTACCACGCCCTCACATGTACACCACACGCCCTCAACATGTGTACCTACCACACACACACGCCCACAACATGTGTAGCTACCACACGCCCTCAACATGTGTACCCCTCAACATGTGTACCTACACACGCCCTCAACATGTGTAGCTACCACACGCCCTCAACATGTGTACCTCACACACGCCTCAGCATGTACCTACCACACACGCCCTCAACATGTGTGACCTACCACACGCCCTCCCAACATGTGTACCTACCACACACCCCCATCTTCCTCCCACGCCAGCAACATGTGTACCTACCACACCCACCATCTTCCATCCTGCCACACGCCCTCAACATGTGTACCTACCACACGCCCACAACATGTGTGGCTACCACACGCCCTCCACATGTACCTGCCACGCCCTCAACATGTGTACCTACCACACGCCCTCAACATGTGTACCTACACGCCCACCATCTTCCATCCTGCCACACGCCAACAACATGTGTACCTACCACACGCCCACAACATGTGTAGCTACCACACGCCCACCATCTTCCGTCCTGCCACATGCCAGTCTCCTAGACGCCCATAACTTCCGTACCTAAGCCTGTGTTGATTTATTACACGCCACAACCTCCGGGGCGGGAGCCAGATGGGTGGTAGCCCTGAACAGGACAGTTAATCAGTTCGCTGGGAAATATGTGATCAGTACTGCACCGCCACTTATTAATAGACGACACGAGGGCTGGCAGCTGCGGCGAGGGACTGCCAGATGACACTAGATTAGTCATTTATTTTACCACTAGTGCCTTTATATAGTTACCAAAAGCAAATATTATAGTTTCAGGGATCAGATATATAGTTTGGCGCCCTAACATGTGTGATTTAGAGGTTACTTAACGTTAAGAGTTTATCTTCAAAATCACCGCGTGAAAAACCAATGACTGGACCTGCTTCTGTTGATTTCCTGGCCGTCAACATTTACGGTCAATCTGGACGACCACCTGATAGCGAGTTTTCATCAGATGGAGAAGAAAAACTAAACATATCTCTCAAACCATCGTAAAATTATCTTCAGGTTCTGTGCCCCAAGAGAGTGATAAAACGGATGTAGCGGCGAGTTGTGAGCGATGAGGAAACACCACATACTGTACCTCACCGCGTTAGTGTTAAGCATTCCTTGTGTTAGTGCCTGTATGGACTATACCCCTCCACCACCACCACCTCACGCTTTACCCTACCACACACCTCACACCACTACCACACACCTTACACCCACCACACCCACCTCCCATACCACCCCACACCCACCACCACCACCAGCACCTCACGCTTTACCCTACCACACACCTCACACCACTACACACATACCACCACCCCACCCCACACCACCACTACCCTCAGCCCACCCCACCACCATCGTTATCTCAGGTGTAGGGAGTAAGAAGTTGTTGATAGAGAGACGCCTTGAAATTGAATAAATTTGTCGTAATATGAAAGTAAATGATTTAATTAAGTTAGACTGTTATCAAAGTTTAGATAGAAGGAAAATATCGACCGAGAGAAGTTATTGCTCATATGTGTCGAGGGTACATGGGTATATTATTAATATGTAGGCTTCGAGAATGTGTAGATACATGTGAGACAATGGTGGACAGATGAATGTGTACCTAAAGTGGTATAAATCGGTACTGCGAATATGTGTATGTTAGAATGTGTGGATGTGTTAGAGTTTTGTCTACTTATGTGTGTGTGTGTGTTACAATCTAAATGTTTTCTGTACGCAATTATACGATAGTACTTGCGAGTTATAGTACGTTATTGAAGGTAAAACAATAATATAATTAAGGGGTAAAGTACACACACACACACACACACACACACACACACACACACACACACACACACACACACACACACACACACACACACACACACAGTATAAGTTGGGTCATGAAAGCAGTATTGAGGGAGAAGTTATACTGTATGCTGGCCTCGACCAAACTTGTACATTTTAAGGAGTTACCAGTCAGCTCTAGTCTTCTTCACCACCACTTCACCCACCTCCTGGACCATCACCACCACCATATCAAGAGCAAAAGAGCGTAGGTTACTGATCACTACTAGTCACAAGGGTTCGTATAGCAATTTTTCTTCGTGTTTCTTATAAGATCGACCGCATCATGGTATTCTGAAACGCGTGTACGATAGCTTTTAGTTTTCTTCATAACAACTGTAGTATTATGATAACCTGTAGCTTTCCTTGTTTATATAAAGCTTTCCTTGTTTATATGAAACTTTTCCTGTTTATATAAAACTTTCCATGTTTATATGACGTTTTCCTTGTTTATGGCTTTTTCTTGTTTATGTGAAGCTTTACCAGTTTATATAAAGCTTTCCTTGTTTATATGAAGCTTTTCTTGTTTATATAAAGCTTTTCTTGTTTACACGTAGCAGTCCTTGCCTTAGCACCGTATAAACATGCTGAACTACTCTACATTGTCTACATACATGCTGAACTATATACCTACATTGTCTACATACATACTGATTTTAAATGACTGGATCAATGTTAACTTGTATGACGATTTCACTGAATAAACTGAACTGAAAATTTTTATCTGTACAATACAACGGTTTATATTGTATGTATGTATGTATGTATGTATGTATGTATGTATTGTTCATCACTTTATCCACAAATTAAATGTAACACCCAAATTACACGAGATGGATGGACGGACGGACGGACGGGAGGATGGTACGGACATTAGACTGGGAGGGGGTCGTAGCGCAGATCGTAGCATCATCAATAAAACTTTGGAACTCTTAAAATGAAACCTAAGACCGCGGTAAACCAAGTTAAGTGAGTTTACCGCAATCCATTTGACAGAGCAGCCCTCCCTCCCTCCCATGCAGGCTTAACGGATACCTCTTTAGGTTCGCTAGGCCGGGAGGTACCTCTCTCTTATAACCGCAGAGCTCTTGATAATAGCAGAGTTTGGATAACAGCAGAGCTCTTGGATAACAGCAGAGCTCTTAATAACAGCAGAGCTCTTCGATAACCGCAAATCACTGTTGTGTTTCCTTAGAGTGTTAAGGTAGCCGCAGAGCACCTCAGTAACCGTAGAGCACTTGTGCTTTAGAGTAAGGCAAGATAGAGCAGGGCAGGGCAGGGCAAGGTAGGGCAAGTCAGGGCAGGGCAGGGCAGGGCATCAACTGTTGCTGGAAGTCGTGTTGTGTTATACTCTGTCGTGTTGCGTTGTACTTTGTGTTGTTATGTTGTGTCGTGTTGCGTTGTGTCATAAGTTGTGTCGTGTTGCGTTGTGTCATGCTGCGTTGTCATGTTGTATCGTGTTGCGTTGTGTCATAAGTTGTGTCGTGTTGCGTTGTGCCATGCTGCGTTGTCATGTTGTATCGTGTTGCGTTGTGTCATAAGTTGTGTCGTGTTGCGTTGTGTCATGCTGCGTGATGGGTGATTATCGCTTCTAATAATGCTAAAATATATTATCATTCCCTTTGCTCTCTCTCTCTCTCTCTCTCTCTCTCTCTCTCTCTCTCTCTCTCTCTCTCTCTCTCAGGGCAGTACACCCACATAACCCGCCGTCGATCATCATAACAGAAGCAGTACCACCACCTCCACCTCACCACATAACACCTGTGCTCCTACCACCTGCTGTTACTGTGTTACCTGCTGTTACTATCTGTGTCACCTGCTGTTATTATCTGTCTCACCCTGCTATTATGTCTCACCTGCTGTTATTGTGTCTCACCTGCTGTTGTGTGTCTCACCTGCTGTTATTATGTCTCACCTGCTGTTATTATGTCCCACCTGCTGTTATTATGTCTCACCTGTGTTATTATGTCCAC